CATGAGGACAAACCAGGGTCAAGTCTCCACAGTGGGCTTTCCAGCAACTCCTTCTCCCGAGCCGGGGTATTTGTACTCCTAAGGAAGAGTGAAGCATTACAAGAAACATCAGGTAGGAAAAAAAATGGATTAGCTGAATTTCATCTACAAAAATGCACTTGCCTTATAATGTTTTTTTTAGTTTGTCCCATTTTTTTTGGCCTGCAGTGTGGTAACTAAATGGTCAATCTTCATCTGCTCCAGTATTGACCTAATAACAAAATAAAAAAGCACAACACTCACAATGCTGATAACAACAATGTAACACTCACATTTCTTTTAACATTGCTATTAGTGGAGGGAAAAACTAATGTTTTTAAGAAAGCTGTACAGTCCTACAGAAAAATAGGAGAACTTCTTTGGAAAAAATCCAGTGTCCACAGAGACAGTAGTATAATATTTCCCTTTTTTTCAATTGTATTACAAAAATAGTAACTGCAGATAAAACAATGGTCAAACTTACTTCCAGGCTACACTGGCAGAATGCTTGGCCCCAGTAAACAAGGCCTCTTTGGAGGCCCGCAGCCTAATAAACTCCTCCATTTTCTCCTTGGTCCCTACAAACAGAAGGTGTGTTATTCCACAATAGATTCCACGAAACGGTCAAAAGCATGTACAAAAACATGTTTTTTTGGGTTCTTTTCAGGTTGTTATTAGTAATGAAAAATATGAATTCGAAAAACACCGTTAATTAAATAAGCACACTTTCATACAGAGGATTTAGCATGAGCACCGTACTTTACATGATATTCAAGCACAACTTTTAGCTATATACATACATTTAAAAGACATTTCCTCCCATGAGTTATCCAGCTCAGCCATCTTCTAATTTGCCGCGGCACGAAAATCTCAACTGGCGCTATGAATTCTGGGATAGCCTCCGCCGGAAAGGATACTCGGATGCATCCTCGGATTTCGACAGGAAGTAGGACACATTCCTCGACCGCATGAGGAGGAGCCTTCGAATTGGGACAGTCCACGCGGGGCAATGACGTATGCGGCCGACAAATGCGCACTCATTAGGACCCAGCCCCTGAATTGAGACACAGCCGCTAATTCGAAGCACAAAGGAAGGTTCCATGCAAAATCCTTGAAAAAAAGTCTGAAGTTAGTGGACTTTGATTTCCTCCTTTAAGCAGAAATAAGACCAGTTAAATCTAATCAGAAATTGTTAATTATATGCAGGAAAATGCCACACTTCTCATCTGAAACTACTTTTCCTCAAAGGTATTTTGAATCTGAAAAGAGCTTCACTGAGTGAGACGTGATGTTAGGAGCTCAGCAGACAATTTCAGTTTAACTTTCAGTTTCACTCGTTTGCTCTGTTACTGCTGAGAGCCTGCAGCAGTTATGGACGGGGTGTGTGGGGTGGGGGGTGGGGAGGTGTGCTCCGTGATGAGGAAGCTCAGTTTAAAGACACGTCCCAGGGGCCTTTCTGGTACCAAAAGGCGTTTCTGGTCCCCACCTGTCGTTTTGCTCCTCAGCATGGCTTTCTAAAAACGCTGCAGAATTTCTCAAACATGCATGAATGAGTCAAAGCAAGGCTTTGAACGTGTGTTTTAATGAGAGTGTAACATTATAACATGATCTAAAACTTAAAAAAAGTTGATTTTACTTGATATTGCCCCTAGGACCATTACACACAATAAATTAAATGTTAATTTTGCATAGTAGTGTTCTACATAAAAAGACCCTTTCCTGTATTTTTTTTTTACCTCTAATAAATGTTTTACTATATCAACAACTGGCAAAATTAACAGGGAAATATCAAACAAACAACTAATTTAAACTGGTAAAACCACAGTAAAATTTTGCACTTAAAATAAAAGCTATTTTGTGTATTTTGT